ATAATGTTGAAAAATTTCTTAAATTCTATAAGTATCAAAATTTGATATATATATTATTCATACTTTTCTTTTTTCAATGAAACATTCGAAATAGTATCTGAAGTGATTAATTGTATTTGAACTCATATGTTGAATATACAGAATCACTTTTTCATTGCAAGCCTACAGTATAGAACCGAGATCAATATTTTCAGTCGAAACAATGATAGGACCTTCGAAGTATAATTTCGATGGTTAACTTTTTTTTTTCTAATTTCAATCGTAATCGAGTAGAGTTAGTCATTGAATTTAAGTATCAGAATTTGAAACAGCCATTACATTGAAAAATTTGGGATTTCAAGGAAAAATATACATAAGTATCATTGAGTATTTCTCACGTAAGAACATACGTTTTCTCAATGTACATTTTTATTAAAATATTTCATAATATATTTCGATTTAAAAAGGTCATATCAACGACTAAATTGATGTGTAAAACGACTCATTTTGATCCTCGATGCATTGCTTCCTGTCTTGCTGTTTGTTTGACTATTACTTACCTTTTAAAAGAAGAATTCGATCAAAATGATATTGAATCATTAATAAATCGTGTTAAAAAAGAAACTATCGAAATACTTGGTGATGAGTTTTCTGACGAACATCGTGAATTATTCTTATGGCATATAGATAAAGAACGTACACTAGAAGAACTTAACCTTGACGAATCAAGAAGTATTGGTTATACATATAAATGTTTAGCATCGGGTTTTTATGGATTAAGATCTACACGTTCATTTGAAAAGACATTAAATGATCTTATTCGGTATGGAGGTGATGCTGATACTAATGGAGCAGTATGTGGAACTATGTATGGAGCAAGACATGGTTATAAAGCTCTTCCTTATTTATGGCTGAGAGAAATGCCATTCAAAAAATGGTTTGATAAAAAAATCCTTAAATGTCTTCATCAATTGGATTTGATTGATGGATGTTAATTCATATATTAATGATGATATTATAGACATACAGACTTGATAATAAAACAAATAGCTTGTTTTTTGCTCATTTATTCTTGAATTTTAATAATTTTTAAAACAATATTTATTTCAATTGAAAAAAAATAAGAAAACTTTGATTTCATTAATTAAATACAATTTTTTATTCTATTCAAATCTTGATCATATAATTAGTTCTTAAAAAAAAAAAGAAGTCTTTTGATCGTACAATAATTGATTTGCACTCAATGATCTTCTCTCGATGGAATGCAATTCATGGCTAATTTCTCAATGATAAAAGGATTGTACTTAAATATCTCTACGTATAGTTGAGAGTAGAAAAAAAGAAAGAGATTGTTTTGGCTTATATTTGTATTCACTACTTAAGTCATGTTCAAACATATTGATGATCGATAAATAACTATTTAGACAATGTAATGTTGATTCAATCATACAAACACTTTTTGTCTTTTTCTTTTCTCGTCATTAAATCATTCAAAATATGCTTTATGTCTTTATTATATAATCGTAAACATTTGTGTATAAATTGGCTTAATTTTTTGTATAAACGTACATGTACATTTTCATTTGTGACTCTATACTTGTATATTTCGTTTTACTTTTATAGCAAAAACAAAAAAAAAAGATGTTCTCTATTATTTTCTTGATTTTATTTGCGATTAGTAAAATCATTGATTGTCAATCATGGAATACATCCGATAGAATTCTTCCATGGGAATCCTATATACAATTAAATGATATACAACGACCACTTGGTCTTACAATTGATCGATCATCACTTGCACATCATCATTTTGCTATTGGATATTTTTGTTTTCATTCATTTATGTATGATGAAGCACGAGATGCTTTCAATCTAGCAATTAATATTGCACCAACATTTATCGAAGCTCATATTGGAAAAATGCTCGCGTATGTTTTAATAGTTATATCATTTTATTATCATACATTTTTATTTTAATTAGATGTAAACATACATTATGGTCATATACTGATTTTGATTGTGGTCTAGAAGCCTATAATGCAATAAAATTAATGTTGAAAACATCAAATATAACACTTTCATCATTTCAATCATCATTACTTTCAACAGTTTATCAATGGTATGCAAATCAATCATCGATTACAAATGGAGAACGAGCATTTTTATCATCAATAACTAATTTATCAGAAACATATCCAAATGAAACTGATATTCGTGTTTTATGGGGTCTTTCTCTTCTTAATGTAGCTTTTGGACAAGAATTTCAAGGTCAAATAGAACCTACACCAATGATGGAAGCAAGAGAAATCTTTAAAACAGTACTTAGAATTGAACCAAATCATCCAGGTGCTCTTCATTATTTAATACATGCTTATGATGTTAATCAAGTTGATATAGCAGAAAAAGCTACAGATTATGCACTAACATATAATAAAACTGTGTTAAAATTATCACATGCACAACATATGCCAGCTCATATTTGGATGCGTACAGGTAATAGAAGTTTTCATAATATTTCTTTCTCAATTGAAGAATAGTTCAATAGAAAATTTTTGAAATTTTCAAAACACATAGATCTTGACATGAGATGCTATGTTCGATCGAATTGACTTTTGAAAACATGTTATTAAATTTATATGATTAAAATAATTGTTTATAGAGTGAAACAACACATCTTTTTTTTTTTGTAACATTGAATTAGGTGCATGGCTTCTTGCTATGTCAGCTGATAGATCAGCTATTCAAGTAAGCTTGGCATTATGTGCGACAAAATTATTAAATCGTTCTATATCAATATCATCCATTGAATTAGAATCTGTATTGACTCAATTTAATACAACAAATCAAATATCATCTTTTCTTTTATGTGATGCTGAAAATCGAGCACACTCAACTGAATGGTTGTCATATTCTCGTTTACAAACAGGTGATTGGTTAGGTAGTATTGCTCTACTTAATGATTTATTCATTGCTGATAATCAATCATTTTTAACACCAAATCATTATTTACCATTTGCCTATCGAACTCAAGCACGTACTATTGTTGATCTATTCTTTTGGTTTCCATATAGTAATCAATTTTTAAATAAAATACAATCATTATTAGCATTTAATGAAAAACAATCTTTAATTTTGTTGAGTGATAATACTACAGGATGGTATCCAATATGGACAGAAGCAGGATATCGTTTTGGTAATATTTATTTTCCTATATTTAGATCGAAAAAAAAATGATTCTTTTTATTATTTAGCTGATTGTCTAAAATTACTAACTACTTTTTATATGAATAAGAATACATCTGATATTTTATCAACTATAGATATTCATCTAGCTCGTTTTATTATACTTTCTAATCGAACTAATTCATTAAGTAAATATATATCTAATAGTATTTTAATGATGATACCTCAAATACTTGGTATACGTCATTATATTAATGGATTATGGCAAGAATGTTTAAATGAATTAAATACAGCTACTCAAATTGAATCGATGCTTATATCTGAAAGTAATAGTCCTACATTGATATTTGCACGTTCTTCAGAATTATTTGCTATGCATTTAATAATTATTTATGAACAAAATAAAAACCAATTGGTAAGTATTATTTTGTTATTTTTCTTTGATCAACTAATGTTAAATATCAATTCATACATTATGTATTAAAAATTTAATATTCTTTAGGTTGAGACTAATTCTTCTATATATATGTTAAATGGTACAGAAACAGCTATTGATAAATTTCCATTAATAGCATTAAAATTATATAAAAAAGCTGATCAAATAGCTCCTAATCGAGCTATTAATACACTTGGTATGGCACGTGCTAATGCTCATCTTAATCGACATAATACAGCAGTTGGTTTGTATCAACAACTTTCTTTTCAAATGACATCATCGAATAATAATGATGAATATTTTCTTAAAGAAGCAAATGACTATCTTGATCAACATAGTTCAGCTATACATTGTAGCTTTTCTTTCATTTTAATCTTTTTTTCCATGTGTTTGTTTTATTTTTAAATGAAATTCAAATAAAATTTATTGAAAATTCATGCTATTAATCTTCTAAAATATTCAAAATAAAGTTTGATTATAATAAATGCAGACATATCGAGGTTTTTTTGAAAACGAGAACGATCGAGATTTGTTATTGAATAAATTCGAGAAAAAGAATAATTAATTCAATGTTTGGCGTTGCTCTTTTTCTTCCGTTTTTTTTACAAGCATCAATCGATTCTGACCTACAGAACAGAAAAAAATATTGTAATTGAAATCAGGGAATAGTGATGCTAGATCAAACGCAAATTTGCATCACTGACAGATCTGATAGACAACGACAATATTTCTGTCGTTAATCAGGAACGATTCTATGCCAGAGCTTGATCGAAGATTGATTTCATTTATTGTTTTTCTAGAAGTTAGTTCGTTCATGAATCGAGGAACCCTCGGCATGTATTATTGACTCAAATCATTCACCATCAATGATATTTTCTTAGGTCATGCTAAATTGATGGATATCCAAACGGATCTGAATATGTCAGAGTCAGAGAGTAGCTGAGTTTTAGTTTTTCCTCAGTATACCGATCAATTTTCTTCTTCGTTTTAGCAGTGCGACTTTTTATCTAGCATTGAGTATGCTTGTATGGGACAGCATCATCTTCGGTATGACTTTTGTTCGTTTTCTTTTCGTAAGTTAATGTAGAGACCTTTACTGAAAACAAAACTTTTGCGAATTATCATCGACAGGAATGGTAGATGCGGGCTTTTTGTCTAGTATCATCATCTATTTTTCCCTCTGGCACTGTAAAAGAGATCAAACGATGGGAATTGCTATTCTCTGTAGCGCAGTAATTGTTTCCAATGCTCTTGCTGATATTCTAGTACGTACTTGCCGATGTCATTAGAGGTTATCTATGTTGAGATTATAGACACTATATAGTATTGTTATTAATGTAGGCTTATGTTATGAAAAAATGAATGGTAATTGATAGTTTGAAAAGTTGGCGATGGATCGTGTTGTTCGAAGATTTACCGATCATCCTGTTCGGAATTATTACATATCTTTTCCTTGGCAATGTACTAAATGCTATCCAGTATAAGCGTTTAAATGAGAATCAAGTATATTCAATTTTTTTTTTTGCAAATTTAGAGTTGAATAATATTGAGAAGCCGCTATTGACAAATCTTCTTCGAAACGATGCGAAACTATTTATATAGTCTAATTTCTCTTGGCAATTTAGCCGTTGTCCTATGTATGACAATATTTTTTCTAACACTGATGGCAAATACAGGTTACTCCAAAATTAAAGCACATTTAATAACAATACCACCTTATCTTGTGACGTATACATACTGTTTGCTGTCTAGCTATTCATTATCACATCAAAATGAACATCAAAGAGAGCAATGTCAATCAGTTTCGTAATTGGCAACGCTCAAATTGGTGGTATTTTCTCGCTTCTGGTAAGACTATTACGTGTGATAACTGATAGGAGAATTTCTAAAAGTGGTTTGCCACATATCAATGACTTTAAAAGAGTATTAATAAGAATTTTTTTGTTCATAGATATATAGAGAAGTTGATAATCCGGTTTATCGATACGGTCACGTAATAAACAAATTTATCATCGAAGGAGTATGAATGTGAGGCATCTATTAAAGAATCCTGCGATTTAGTAAGTTTCTATTTGATTTTATAAAGTTCAAAATGTTGTTCTCTGATTGTCTTTAACATCCCGCCGTAAGCTATGTATTGTGACATGAAAATATTTTACATCTGTCGAAATGAATATGACAATCAAATATTTTAATATTTTATTCATTATCATTCGTCTTCCTGTTTTTTTTTGAGTAATAAATACATGTCAAACATGAAACGAATATTAAAAGTTTTCTTCTGAGGAAATAAAGCATCACACTTGGTTGTCGATTTACACTCATAATAATACAACGCAGAATGGTTAGTTAATTGCGTTATTTTCTCCTTTCCTCGAATCAACGACGAGAAAAAAATCGTTGAGGCTAAATGCAACTGCGCTGGAGAAAAAAAAGCACCATTGCCATTCGATCATTATTCCTGTGCTAGAGACACATGGCATATAATATTTATGTGAGTCGAAAAGGATTAAGTATTTTTGATACTCAATATTTTTCTTCTATTTAATGTCGTCGTGTGAAAGAGGGCAGTTTTTTTTTGTCTTTAATTCAATGACGCCTGTTTGCAAACGAATGAATCGGGTGATCCGGTAAAAGCTAGAGAGCTTTTCATTTTCAATTGTTTCTTGATACATCTTCGACGTTTTTTTTTCTAAATTATTTGCCGTGAAAATATCTACAAGAGGATTTCATTTCAGATGCCAGTATGAAAAAATAAGCATATACAATTGTCAGATTTCAACTTTATTTAGAACTTTTCCTCTAAAAATTCACTTTACATATCATAGAAAAATTCTTTGACCATTCATTTATCTTTATGATACTACTAAATAATCTTCGATGTTTGTGAAAAGTTAGTGCTGTTACACCAGAATCCATAAATAAAATGAAGAAGCAGTGTCTGATATTGGACACATGGAAGCTTCAATTTTTCATCCTGACATTTGAAACTACTCATTCCTATAAAGAATATCACGACGTATCTTTTGAAAAAAATGCTTCCAGCTGTTATCAAGAAAAATGACTCATGATTGTCAAGACCAATCGAAATGAATCCGTTATCGTTCTCTATTTTAGGTACTTGTTCTACGTATTCCCTATGTTAGAAAAAATATATACACTTTCCTAAATACATGCCACATAAAAAAAAAGATCTATCAGTGGATAATTAACAATAAATCGAGACGATTATAAAAACGACGAAGAATAGCTAGCTTAAGAAGTAATCACAATCGGTTGAAAGGATCATATTGACACTGTCAAACAGACTTGAATAATCAAGTCTTGCACTTGAAAAAATGTTTTTTTTTTAATAAACTCTTGTAGGATTTATGACGTATACTTCAGAATTCTTTATGCAAGGTTTTTATCGGAGATAATGACGATTCGCCGTATACACTGAAACAAGAGATCTAATTCGGAACTTATGAGATTTCGTGGACCTTTACTATACCTTATAAGGTATTTCGCACTAAACTAATCTTTTCCCTTGTCTCATCTTTGATAGGAGCAGATGTCCATCAATCAGAAACTCGACTGATCTGACTTTGTTCTTCTGTTAGTCCATTAATATTCACTCTATAATCGATTTCAGAAATTACACCACTGTCTTTAGACTTCATACTCTCCTATAATGATGTTTATTACTGGATCAATAGAGAAAGCTTCACTTGTTTAAAAATTGCATATCCTGCTTCATTGAGTAACTTGAATAATTAGAAACGTCGAAGTATGTGTGTGGTATGAAACCTTATTTTTAAGAAACATACATAAAAAGAAGTTTCGATTTCGTTGCGAAATTTGAAAAGGTTTTTTTTTGTCAGGTTCTATAAACTCTTTAAAAGTTCGTTTTTGTACAGTTTTTTTTTTACAATGCAGTGTTTCTCACCATTCTAAACGATGTTATTGTAGTAGAAAGAGATGTCTCTGACAAATTTTCTTTTTCAAATTCTCTATTGACAGAAATTGCAGACACGAACCTACTCGGTACAATTAACCATTATCAATAATACTCAAATTAACTATTTCGTCTCGTAATCATTGACATAAAAGTTTTAAAACTGATCTGATATCGTCTACGTACTTATCGAAAATGGCATCGCCAGTAAAATTGATTTCGGTACGTCAAATTCCGGAAGCATCAGCTCAAGATGAATTCATTTGGGGATATCAGATGAATGATAAGTGGATCCCTTTTCCTGATACTGTATCATCAAATATTGATAAAGCCTTTCGACAAGGACTCGAAGAATTATTTACTAATGAAGGTTATCGTATTGATTTAAAAGACTTCGTACAAGAACATATTAATGATCGAAACTGTAAACAATTGATTCTTCGACGACGACGACATCCTCATAAATCATCAATTTCAAATAATAAAACAAACGAAGATGAATATCAACGTTATGAACGATTCTCATTTCCTTTGGGATTAGTTTCAAGCTGTAGTGTAAGTGCGGATACAAATTATTATGGTTCACCATTTATTGAAGAATGGTATCTTACATTCACAAATGGAAAACGAAAAGTTACAGTCGATTCTATTTTTCCTGTCGTTGTAGAAGGCTTACGAGAAGAAGGAAAAACTGAATCAGAAGATGTGGTACGCAATATCATGGATATATTAAATAAGACCAGAGAAAAAGGCCTTCGGAAGAGTGAGAAAAAGAGAATGATAGAATTAGAAAATTGTTGTGCAAAACTTTATACAAATTCAAATTTTCTCTATCGCATAGTCAACAGTGCATTGCGCAATAATGATCGCACTAAGCAGTATACTCTTGGACCTTATTGTTTTCTCGTTTTCAACTACATTGGTCGGCATCTCAATGATGATTTTTCAATTCGTCATCGTTTTCGACAATCTCTTCGTTCGACCGGACCTCAATTAATTACTGTCTTTCGCGGTGATTATATTTCTCCCGAAATAATACAAGAATATCGACAGGCAGTTGGTAACAAGTCTAAATATTTTAAATGGCTCTCATTTGTTTCCACTTCAAGTGATCGAGCTGTTGCCGAAGAATTTATTCGAAATGCTTTGTACATTATTGACTTACAACGTTACTCATCGAAGGATCAATTCGTAGATCTGTCATCAATTAGTTCCTATCAGGACGAAAAAGAGATTCTATTACAACCAGGAGTGCGATTTCAAGTTATCAAAGTTGAATTAGATAATACGAATAATACACATTTAGTGCATATTAAGATTGTTCCATCCTATGTGTCCACTCTTACATAACTTCTAAGTTTTACTTATACAAACGCATCAGCATACAACAACAATCTAAACTGACTAGAACTTGTTTTAAAAAGACAAACTATAAATAATTCAGATATACTAAAAGTATGCTACATTTCTTTAATACATCATCCTTCTCTATTGATATAAAAATACTCATCAAGTCTGAACTACATGAGATTCATCTTCATGAGAGTGTAGGTGTGATCGCGTAAGTATTCGACTTCTTGTGATCCAGTTACACTTACACAGAATAGTGTCCTTACTCAATCATGTTAAGTTTGAGACTTATTGACTTGTATCAGTTCGAAGTTTTTAAACCAATCGCACAGTTCTATTTAGTTACAGAGAACTAAAACTGAATCCTATCTCTGCAATGGATATTAGAAAAAATATCTGATATTTGATGATTATGCTTCTTGTGCATACAAAAAGAATGCACTTTATAGTCACATTTGAAAGAAGATTTATTTGTGTTATGATTCCGACATGTCGAATAAAGTAGTTGATAAATGAAGACATCATATTATTGATGCTTCTTTGATATCAAAGGAAATACTAATAATTGTAACATTCAGCATTGTCATAAAAGTTTTAAAAAAGGAATACACCGAAGTATATATGCATTTGTTTAATTAGTAGCAACCATTAAAATAACATTCTCAGAATTGCTTTGAATCTTGTTTTCTGCAAACTCTTTTTTTTTTTCGAAATTATCAGTATGGAAAAGGAAAACATCACAATTACAGAATACTCTAATAGTCCTAAGCGTATAATATGTAGCATATGGTTGTTTGTCGAACTCTCATCAATCATTTGTAGTCTTATCATATTAACTTATATCTTCTTTCATTGAAAATCAATGATAATTAAAGCTTTACACAATCATATCGTTTTTCTTCTTATTCTTATTTCATTTTTGTACACTACGATTGATCTTCCTTTCACTCTCAACGCATTGGCTATGATAATCCTCAAACATTATCATTTTATCGCTGATAGTATTAGATCGATTAGACTCTCCTTGTTAATAGTCTTTATCTTACAGCTACTGCCAGTATTCAACGGCATGTTCTTATATTTAATAATTCACTGGTTATACATAAATCGAACACAGTTGTTATTTCATTATATTCCATTAATATTTTGTATATTTTATCCAGCTATATTCTATCTTATTTGTATCGATTTCTATTCATGTGAAATGCCAACTTATGATTATGTACAGTATTGTCCGTATCCATGCTATTCTGGCAATCTTATCTTATCTGATATACACTATATGCTTCATACAGTAGTTCTAATGGTTGTTATTGTGATAGCAAATATTACATTAATATGTCGAGTAATCCATTCGATGCAAAAAATTCGTCAACAGCATTTCGACCTTTGGAAAAGACAGAAAAAATTAACCGTACAAATAGTTACTTTTTCATCATTATGTATCATCGGATGGAGTCGTGTGACAGTTGTATCTGTCATACAAATGTATTTTATGCCTAACGAATATGAAGATATACCAGCGATTTATTATATTACCTTTTCAATATATTTTGTTTGTACTATTCAATTCTTTAAATGTTTATTAGCTTTGCCTGAATTGATGAATTATATCAAAGGTAAAGTAAAGCGATTATTGACAAGATAAACTACAGTACATATAGAAACAACTCCAGCAATTTAAATCTTTTTCTAACATAATGAATGCCATTGACACTTGCTAAATGTTTTTTGAATGATTGAATGTATTGCAGATTCAAGAAAGTTCATAATGCTAAAGCCAGAATGTACATATGCGCATATACATAGTCGTTTAAAGAACATTGCCCATAAAGAGATTGCATTGATCATGATGATGATTGACAGGTGATAGAAGTTTTTCTTTGAACTTCACTTCGTAATTCGTTAAGTCAATATGACAAGTATGAAAAGAATAAACTGTCGTACTTCAGCTGTCCTGTCATTTTGACAATGTGGGGTGTGAGTGTAGCTCTTGTGCTCAGTAACACTTACACCTACCTACACCCTCGAAAACTTGCTAACATAAAGATTTTTCTGAGCTATGCTTTTGAATCAAAGTATATGTCTATCATTCTTGTTTCAAAAGAAATTTGATCGGTTCGCATATATATCTTTTTGTATGTGATGATGAACCAACACCATTAGATGCAGAAATGTTTTAACAGGAATCAACGAATGAGAACGTTCAGTAGGAGTAGAAGTTGAATTAGAGAAAGTCATTGACGATGAGCAAAGAATGCTAAGCAAGAACATTTTGTTAAATGTAAAGAAAGTTTTTTCCTATTTGATTCTTTTTCTTCTATTCATGACAGAAATAGATGGATTTTTCGAAAAAGAAACTGAATGAGAAATCTGTAACATTTTTTAAAAATTATAGATTTTATTCAATATTTGGCTCAGTTGAATATTGAATCAGTTCAGTCCATTGAGACCTCTGGTCGATAACTTACAATACACTCACTTTCGCTAAGAAGGCAACTGATTACTGAAAAACATTTCTAGGTCATTTGTTATCTTAAATAAAATGAAATCTGCTAAAATTTTTATGTTCTATTTTATTACTGTTTTTTGAATCTACGTTTCTTCATATCTCCAAAATACTTTGGTAATAAAAATTTTTTTGATTATTCAAATAACATTTTCTTATCATTTTTAATAGATTTATACAGAATCATCAAAGAAAATATTCAAATATATATAGTTTATAAATATTATATGAAAAAAAAAAACAATAAAAATCATATTAACATTTTTGTACCTTGCTATTGTCATATTCTAAGTATAATATAGAATGTTGCATTTTCTTATTAATCGTAATTGTGTAATAATATATGCAAAATCTCTATGCATTGAATAAATCATAATTCTTTACTTAAAACCGTGATTTATAAAAATCAACATTCATATCAATGGTAATTTCTATTCATGGATGCATTAATCAGAAAAATCAAACAATTTTCTAACAAATGACCTATATATTTTGGATTTACTTATTGTTTAAGTGAGGCTATCAAATTCTTGAAAAATCGAAAGTATTAAACAACCAACATGAAAAATATTCCATTAATTTCTTTATTTACTTCTTTGTTTTGAACACGTTCTATTTCTTGTAACATATTTTATTAATGTATTATTTCCTTTCTAAAAGTTTGGTTGACTATATGTTTGGAGTCTAATTTAGAAAGATAAACAATAAGCAATTCTATTCGTTTTTTTCTTTATGCTGGTGCAAAATAAATGTCAAAAAAGTTTCATGTAATATTACTCGAAATACTCTGTTCTTTTCATTAATAGCAAAATCAAAAACTCTTCCGATAAGATGTGTTTTTTTTACAGGTAGAATATCATCATAGCATTGTTTAAATATTTGTCTACTTTTTCTTCATCGTATTTCGATAGAAATGAATTATAATTATTTTCAGTTAGAAAATGTCGCTTGACGTATATGAGTCAAGATGATTTTAGAAGAGTTGATGAATCAATACTATGGTATTAAATAAATAAACTAAATCTTAGAAGTACTTTGTTAGTGAAATCAATTTTTGTTTAATGCTGATGTTCATCAATTCATTTAGTTAACATTTGATTTATCTTTTTACTCAGAATTCAAATATATAATCTACACAAGCTCAACTTGTACATGCATTTTATTTGATAGTATTGAAAATACGAGAAAAATTCTCATTAATTATCTGTCAAGTTTTCACAATGGAATTTGACGTGATTTAGTGTGATAATTCCCACCTAATTAAAAATGTTTGACTCATTACATTTATACGAATGTAAATCATAAATTTTATTTTTTGTTTTAACCATAGTGTTGCAGATAAATAATTTGATTATCATTTAAAGAAGTTTTATTAATAATGCTGTGATTTTGTTTGAAACCAGTTGATGCAATAAGTATTGTCGAAAGTCAAAAATCTTATTTGTAACTAATATTAAGAATTATTCATTTTGTAGAGAGAGATTTCTCATTCTTTCATACTATGCTATGAATCATATAAACATTTATCAATAAGTTTAAATGGAAATTATTTTCTGGAAAGATCTATCACAATCATTGGAAAATATTGTATAATAGTATTCGACTCATACGTCATCGTTATTCATCATTTTTTAAATCCATACAATATATAAAAAAGTCTTCTCACTACATACTCCTACAATTTTATTCTCTCATTGATGGTACATACTTTCCGTTTTCGTTTATATTGGTAACATAATGGTTGATTCTGATGCCAAAAAACTGAATGTATGCTTGATGCAAAGTTTATTTGTACAATGTGTTCATGAATGTCAATTATGTTTTGAATATCAATACGAGTAAGTTTTATTATTTATTTAATCTGACACTCTTTATTATTGTGCGTATGGATGAGTGGAAATGAATGGATTCAGAGATGACACCCATGTACATTCACATAAATCCACTTGTGAAATCGTTAGGCGCACTTAAATACAATTTAGAGTTCGTTCACTTTAAAATAATAGATGTATGGATGTTTATTAGCATATTAAATGAGATTGTAAGAACTTCATATTTCTTTCGTCTCGAATTAGTTACTTGTTGACTTTCTTCCAATATTTATACTGAATTTCATTACAGGCCTAAAAATATTGAGGTAGAACTTTTACTAGTAGGTATTTATTCAATCAGTCAATTATAGATTTAATGCTTCCATCTACGAACCGAATAATATGATGTTGAAATAAGGCGTCAAAGAACTAATGCGTGGAATTTTTAAAAAAATCAAGAATTTTTTTTTTGCGTTCTTTTTTTCTTTTACTGCCTTTCTTCGTTTCATTCTCAAAGAAAAAAAATAAAAAAAACAAATAATTCCCACACTCTCCACGGTGAAATTCTCATTATTCGTCTCAACGTCGATAGTGAAAGAGTTTCTGTCTTCCTAAATTTGTGCATTGTATCCTTGAGCAATGCATATCTAAGCTATAAAATTTTTCAGCTTCTCATATCAATAAAACATTGATTTATGTGCCATACTAAATGATTTCAAGGACAACAAACAAAAAAATAATCTTGAAACCTTCGCAATACATTACATCATTGTTATGAAATGTTTATGCAATTACTAGTTTATTATGGATAAACACCCTTTCTTATGCGTAGGTGTGTGGTAATTCAAGATTTTATGAATCATGAGCTGTTACAGACCTACTTTGCATCGATATGTACACTCATACTAATACGCACAAGTGCAGTTTCACATGCAACATATTAGACTCATCCGTAAAGGAAAAGTTTTTTGAAATTTTTGCAGTCTCGAAATTTCCCAACCATTGAAAATCGTCTATCTATATTAAGCTTATCAGAATCAACTAGAAATATCTAAAATCAGTTTTTGTGTGTTGAAACTTCTGCTTCGTACTATCATCTTATAACCCAAAATCTGATCAAATTTGCTCTATTTTGATGATAAGATAGTTGATGATAGATATGAAGCTCTTTACTTCAATCTGGAACACGCGTTGCTCTCAGATCCGTTCACAGATGTTCATCATCGTAGCAGTACCATGATGGCAGCCTGTCTTACGAAGCAAATGGTAGAGTTGCATGACTTTGCACAGAATTTCAGTGTTCACAATTGTAACACTGTAAGAATCAATGAATCTGAAGGATTAATAACAACGATGAAATTCGAAACATATTTTTTTTTTGAGTTTTATCATGATAGTAGCAACTTTTTTTTTTTAAAATAGTTCCTTGTGACGAAGTAGAGTTAGTTTTGGGACCGAATGAACATCTTAGCAGTCTATTAGAACTCATTTTTCAACGATATCCATATTCATAAGAAAAATATTTAAAAATTCAGCTTCGTTTTTCTGCTTATTAACACTAATAAAATTATATGATGACTTAAAAAAATAATATCCTCATCTCTTTCCAACATTTGTACTGTTTATTTTTTTAAACTTGTTAAGTGAGATATGTTTTCATTATTGTTAATCGACGATCAAACAGTGTTAGTATGAAGCAATAGACACGCAAAACAGTTGTTTGTTTATTTTCTTCACGAAATGAAGATATTGTTTTCTATAAATGTTTTTATAATAAAGCTTAATGTTATTAACTCATTGGGTCAAATCATTGAGAATAAATTCTAGTTTCCTTTTCAATAAACTAACTTTTATAAAGACTATCTATACTAAGATTAACTTTACGAATCGATATCTCTGTTCATATAAGATATAAAATAAATAGAAATCTGTTAGACCATTGTAAATTTCCTTCATTCATAGTTTTTTTTCTGACAGAGATGCTAATTTTGTCATTCGAGAAAAAACTTACTACTAGATTCCAACTACTGATTGATAAATTTGTTTTTTTTTTTGCAAAAAAAAAAAACTTTAATATTGATTTAAATAGAAAAATATTAAAGAACAATTACTTTATGAAATTTATTCGACATTGTAGCAAAATAGCTCGCACATTTTGATGATAAATATTTGTTGAAAATTGAATTACAAAAGACAAAAAAAACAACAACACGATTACTAAACGTATTTCATTGAAACCTGTATGAGTTTTTTTTCCGATGAGAATGGGAAGAAAACATTATGTCTAATAATTTCATGATTCATATGAGTTGTACAACTTTTGTCTTTATCTTCAAACGTATTTTATTAATCTTTATATGTCAAAGTTCGTGAGAAAATCTAATGTCTTTTTCAAACTTCGGAACTTTCATGTGATATATCCAAGTAAATTAATTAATAAAAGTGATTCATCTATCTTTGAAATTTAAAAAATCTTACATTTCTTTTTCGTAAGAATGATGTCAGTAGTTTTTTAGCAATATTTGATAGAAAAAAACAACGTATCTAGTTTCTTTTTTATTTAGAGTCAATGAAATAAACATGAAGCTTGCTTGAATAAATGCAATAAAATGAACCAGTATCAAATGAAACAAAGATGAAGCATTCTGGATAAAAAAAAATATGAAAAATTAGCAATATTTGTAATGTTATTATGAAATACGCCTCTATAATTGAATCGTTTTATAAATAAAACTTAATTGAATTTAGTTAAAGACTTTGATATGACCACTGATGTTAAATTGACTATCATCAATAATGATCGATTCATAATTGTAATTTTCATCGATGTATCGTCAACGAATTCAAGACTTAATCAAATATTAGTAAATGGATTTATTTCGAACTTCTTCCTATGATTTATTTTAAAAATTTAAAATCTTTATCATATTTTAATACTATAATTTGTAATTTTTAGATATTTTAAAGAATTAAGTCGTTTCATTGAAAGAATAACCATTCGTTGCTTTAAAATAATGGTAGGCAACGATGCTAGAAATAAACATATTCTTGACAGGACATTTATTTGTTCTGTATGCTCATTTATATTACATGATCCTCTACAATTGACTGAATGTGGTCATAGACTATGCCAATCATGTTTTAATGTTGAACAAGAGTAAGTTTCATTATTAATATTAAATATTATCATTTTTTATTGTTCTTTGTAAAGAACCACAATTAAATGTCGACAATGTCAATTGGAAACGTTACGAATCAATGTAAAATATCTTTTCATAATTAAATAGGCAATATATATTTCTTTGTATAGGTACGACCTGATCGAGGCTTTAAAAATGATATGCAATCACTACCCATTGATTGTTCCTTTTGTCAGTGGACGGGTGTCTTGAATAACTATCAAGTAATTTATTTTATATTCATGTTATTTCTGGATCTTCTATACTTTTCTGTTTCAAAGAAACATCTCGGTCAATTTCATTCAAATCTGAAATGTAAATATTGTAATGAACAGTTCAACTCAGTTATCAAAGTCTATGAACATAAAATCTACAAATGTCAAAAACTAATTGCTGAGGGTGTGGATAAATTATCCATTGAAGAATCAAATGGTTTTTTAGATATAGTAAATCATAAAGAAAACACTCCGAATCAAGATTTATCATCATTGCAAGAAAAAATCAATGATTTGCAATATATTTCATATGATGGAACATTAGTTTGGAAAATAACAAATTTTCAAGAGAAAATGTGTAAGTTGAAAAGTTAGTCTTATCTTGAATGATAAAAATAGAATATTTTATTGAAAAGATAATTAAAGAGAAAGATTTTATTCGGTTTGACTAAAAATCTACAAATGATACATAAATGAGTCAATATTACATTCAACATAATATATATATATAGTAATATTCGAATATAATGTATGAGTTATCGATTGAGATATTAACGATATGAATCATCAATACTGTCAATCGACTAGATTTCTATATACGTGCTTCTATTCTTTTTCAAGCATTTATCTATTTTTGCTTTTCTTCTTTTTTTTTTACAGTGGATGCACAATCTAAACGACAAACATCAATTGATTCACCTTTATTTTATTCATCACCTACTGGCTATAAAATGAGAGCTCGTCTTTATTTAAATGGTTATGGTAATGCTCATTGTACACACATGTCAGCCTTTTTTGTGCTCATGCGAGGCTTAAACGATCCGATTCTTAAATTTCCATTCAATTATAAAGTAGTATTTTGCTTATACGATCAAACTTTTGCAAAACAGCATATCATCGATTCATTTCGACCAGATATTGGATTGAGTGGCTTTCAAAGACCACGTTTGGATATGAACATAGTTACTGGTATTTCAAAATTTGTTCCATTAACAAAGATTCAACAAGAGAATAGTCCTTATATTCGAGATGATACAATGTTCATCAAAATTATGCTTGATTTTAATGATATTCCAAACATATCATTGCCAATTGCAATGAGTTTGAATCCAGGATTACCGATACATGTTCAACACATGATGATCGAGCAAGAAATGAAACAAAGATCTGAACAGCAATCTCAATATTCAAATGAAACAAAAGAAATAAAATTGAGTTGTGAAGAAACTGCTCAGTGAAAAACAGTGACCGAAAATAAGCGTAGCTGAGTTCGAATCGTTTTTTTTTGAGATACATTCGAGTCGAAGCGAACTTGAACTAGTAAAACTCGGTTCGATTAAGCCTCTGTTAAAAAAGGAATAATGTAAGATGTTGAATTGTGTTTCATCAAGAGGTCGTATGTCGAAATGAAGTGTTTCTTCTAGAGATGACACGTTATCTTTATCCTCCTTTTTAATAAAGAATAAAGAAAACTGAAATATTTATATTTATTTTCTAATGTAGCACTAACAGATTGACCCTAGTTCCTGTACTCTATGGATGTGTGGATGTGGGTGAGGGTATTGATCTTTCCCAAATAAATACCCACACCCACTCTAGTCCTTGTGTACAAATAACTTTAATAATGCCCGGAATCTGCAATGGATTATGTCACGTATCCAGTAATGCTTGTATTGATTTATACGCTGGAAGTATGTGTTCTTCCATGATTTATAATAATTTATTAACGTATGTGCCAAGTTGTTGTTCGAGTTATGAAAAAATTTTATCTGTATGCATCAACATAGTATCATGTATTTCTAAACTTGAATAACTTTTCTCGAATATTTTCATCGTCAAATCGAATTAGTCAGCAAAATCATTTGATGCAGTTAAAAAATCGATATCCATTTGTTGATGACGTGTTTGTTGTTTGAGTTTTCGTCGAAAATCATTGATGTAAATTCGATCAGTATAGGCAATGTCGAGATGTGTCAGCAGTTTAACATTTCTCAATTCTAGGCAAGGTGAATGGATTCAATTGATGAAATTTAATTATATTTTTCATCATTGTTACTGCTGCTACTGTTGTTGTTCGACTAGCAGCCATTCTATTAGTACAAATAAGAATCCACCGTTCGACAATATTGAAACGTATAAATTCTCTCGCACTTCTGTCGTGTTCGATAGCGAATTGCTTATATTCGTTTGAAAACTTGCTATTGACTTAATTCTCTTGTAAATATTTCAATATCTATCTAAGAACAAATATCATCTGGTATCATAATAGTAAAGCGTTTGATATTTGGTTTCCGTTCACTACCAAATAATTCTTTATTTTCAGTACTTTGTTTAAATGTCATTGCTCGTAATGCCTTTTCATCGATACTAAATGATTCAAGAATGTATTGTCCTCATGCTAGTAATATGTGTTGAAGATTTTTATTTGTATTTGTTTTTACCATCATTGTTGGTGAGCGAACAGTCTTGTGCATGGCTTCATGTCCGAGGAATTTGAGAATTGTTTGTTCAGCACTAAATTCAACAACGACAAATTTTTATTCGAGACGATGAAATGTTTCCATTAGAATCACTAATGTATTCAATGCTTCACGTATTTTCTTACCATTCATACTTTCACTATTATCAACACAGAATACTTACTGGATTTTCATCAATATTCGTTCCAAATTGAACACGAATCACACCGGGTAATTTGATATGTGCTTTTGGTAGTGGTTTTTCGCACTCACCGTTTTTAAATACGTTTAGACGTTTGCACTTTATATTAGTGAGAGTAAATATATTTTTTCAGAGTTACACAAACTTCATTTTTTTTGTAAAAGTAGTCCCGTCCTCAACGGATTAAGAGCTTTTTTTCCAACTATGCCGACTCTGTATCAGCGACCAGTGTCGCTGATGCCATAGCGCGTTGAAGTCAACGACTTTCTGATTCTATAGGTAAATGAGTTGATCAATCTTTCTTTACTAGTATTTGATAGTATCTAACAGATACTAACTATGAATATTTTATCTTTCAGCGTTTGCTCTTATCTCATATTGTTTTATGTCATTCTTGTGCTACTACGCAAATAAAACATGTCAGACACGTGTGAAGTTCGCTCACTTCAAAAAATATTGTTGATGCTTCTTTTGGCACTGCTGCCTTTCCAAGGACAAGCTCTCGTGTCATCTAATGAAGCTATCAGTTGGTTCGACACCTTTATTGCGCCTTACGAGTCAACTGGAAAATTTGATGCGTTCGTCTTTTCATACTTTACTGAAAACTCAAGTAACATCAAAACTGCGGTCAGGGGCCGTTGCTACTCGCTCACTGGAACTGATACAGGAGAGCCAAACCCTGCTGTATCTCTTTTCCGAATTGGAAGCGTTACGAAATTGTTTACTGCAACGGCTATCCTACAACTTTACGAAAAGGGCCTTCTTAATTTAAACGCTTCCGTTGTCACCTATGTCCCTTCTCTGTCTTCTGTTATCACATCAAATATGAC